CTGACTCAAACATCCCATTTATATCAAATATTTTCACATTACCTGAAGGCAAATGCAAGAGCCAGATATACTGTATTTCAAAAAACTGGGTACTTAATTATATAACACTCACCAAATAAACCATCACCAGTTCATAACCAAACAGAAAAATTCTTTCTATGAACATTTTCATCTATATGTAATAGACATCCTCATACCTGAGGATGTCTATTACATATAGATGAAAATGTTCATAGAAAGAATTTTTCTGTTTGGTTATGAGCAAGAGCCAAAATACGGTATGCACCACAATTGAATTTAAATCAAATTAAATTAATAAAAAAAAACACACTGACATTCACATAATATAAATGGCATCCAAGAATGTGTGTTTAAAGATGCTTAAGTTAAATTAAATAACAAAAATTTATTAGTATATTATTATTTATAATATTACATTGCATTTTTATGCATGAAATATAGCTAAAAAAAGCTTTATTTTTGGGGTCAAGAATGGATTAACCCATTTTATATTGTTTATGAAAATATTTGTTTCAGTTTTAGATCATCATTTAGGAATAAATTATATTCAAAACTCAAGGTTTGACTGTAAATATATACATATCAACCATCACAATTATAACCTGTAATGTCAGCAGCTATCAATTTAATTAACTATCTTTATGTATTTAATCTGTAACAGAAATTTTTAAGTTTCTGAACTAAATATAACATTAGAATTTACATGTACAAATTCCTGATATTCAAGATACTGAGGCCTAAATTGTATATCAAATATCCAATCCTTCCATTTTTTGATTTCAATATCTACATTTTTCTAAAGCAAGTAAATGCTTTACTATTACAAAGAAATTATATATCATCTTTGCTTTCAAAACGTAATTTTCATTATTCATTTTGAATAGTCTCTTTCCTTAACACCAATTTTTTGTATCAAAATATGTTTTGTTCTTTAAAACTATTTATTCTTACTTTAGTTTAGTATTACTTTAATATTCTATAATTTTACAATGGATTCAGTGTGTTCTGTCATGTATTATAATTTAAGAAAAGATTCCCTACCTGTAAGAGTTAAAAAGGTCATTGAACATATGCCCAATTCACAAGTCATCAAGCTAGGAAATCAAGAAATATAACTAAAATCTATCATTGTTGTTTACATATTTCATTTTATTATTGTTTTAAATTTTGTTTTCAACTACATTTTTAGTATAGAATTTATTTATTCATAGAGGTTTTAACCCTGTTACATGATGCAGTTTGACAAATATACCCTTGCACTAATAAAAAACTAACCAACCTAAAACTTTGGGAAATAATGAGAATGGATATTTGCATAAGAATGTAATCATGCATATGATGGGTAGAATTTACTAATAAAAAGTTTAATAAATAATTAAATTTGTAATAAAAATAAACACCGAACTGAAAATACAAAGGATTACAACAAATGTTCAGAATGACAACATACAACAAAATCAAAATCACTTCCCAGCCAGTTCACTGTTTACTGATCGGTCAATAATTAACAATACAAATTGGTTTATGTAACTTTTAAACTTTTTCCAAGTACAGAATCTATTCCCAAAATTTTATAATCATATATTACAGAATAAGTTTACAGAACAGATGAACACATGCTATATTCATCTGTTATGTTGATCATATTATTAAAAAATTTTGAAACTATTAAAGAATGCTAAATTTATAATTTTAAGGAAAAGAAGAGCTTTTTATGAATTGCAAGAAGTAATTTATATGTATATACTTATTTACATTTCAAAATATAGCTTTTCATATTTTCAATAAAAAATTTGATGTTCAGTGAGAATTTCTGTAGTCATGTTTCATACTTTTAAAGAATTATTCTGTTTTGTAGTTTCTTATATATAGGGGAGCCAACTTTTATTAAAACTGTTAAATATAGAACCTACTTGTTCAAATGCACTAATCCCTTGCAAATATGAAAACACCACATATTTTAATTATTTTTATCAAACCAAAAATGATTTGATAAAAATGGAAAGAGAAATATTGCAAAATACAAGTATTTTCTTACTTGTATTTTGCAATATTTCTCTTTCCATTTTTTCTATAACCTTGTTCAGATAATTATTTATCATCATCTTATTTTTAATATAGCCATTTCTTTATTTTGTATGATTAAATTAGTTGTTCTATTTTTTATTTTCCATAACATGTTCTTTTTTTTATGTACAGGGGAATATTTGACAAAATCTATCACTTTATTATATCTGTTGATTTTTTAAAATACTTTTTAAATTCTAATTTATCACCACTTTTTTTTGTAGTAATATCTAGATTTATTTCACTTTGTATCTCGTCTTCTATCTGAAATTTTATATCATTATTAAATAAAAAAAAGGTGCATAATTTCATTAATGTTAATAGTTTTTTTATTGTATATTATGAGAATATCATCCATATATTATAAAATTGTAACTGTCCATTTCATTTATTTTATGTATAAGAAACTACAAAATAGAATAATTAACAGAAAAACACTTTAAATGAAATAATAATGTAAATAAAAAACTAATGTAGTATATTCTATTTCATGTACACACAACAGATTTACTTGTATAGGAGAAACAACACAAAAGAACGTTTTGCTAACCTAACTTGTAAGGTGAAGATAGAAAATTCTATGAATATTGTTTATTGAATTGTACAATGTTTTTTTTAATACTACAGTTAAGACTTTACACTATAAACATGATTTATTTTGTAGGAAATTTAAAGAAAGTGTAGATATTAAAAACTAAAAATAAGACTAATAGGAATCCAAGTGTAAAAATATATGATAATTGATTTAAATTACTATAAAAACTTAAGAAATAAAAATGCATTTACAGTAATAAGTATATACTATTATGTACTATTATGTTTTTAAAATAGTTGTTATAATTTTAAAAAATTATAAGAATTTTATAAAATTAAATGCATGGAAAACATCATAATCTCTGCAATAGTGTAAAAATATTAGCTAGGGAAAAGAATATTTACTTACAAAAATTTAAAGACCATATAATGATAATGTTAATTATAATAAAACATTAATTTGATTAGAGGAATGGAAACCGATGATGTATGGGATGACTTCATCTTTAGTAATAAGTGCTGTAGACTCAGGTAAAAAAACAAAAATGTCTAATAAATCCATTCATATGGTTTTAATGATTGTAAATTTACTCCACTGTGAAAGGTTGATGAAGGTTTTAATTGTATAATTTACCTTATTCATTTATAATTGTGTACTTTTTTAAATATTTTTTGACCTGAAGAGGGATGTGTAACACTGAAATGCATAGCATTAAAGATTTATATAAAAAAAGTTGATTTTATGGTCTTGTCTTTGATATAAAAACAGTTATAGTAGGCATAACATAAAATTGTGTTATTAGCAAATGTAATGTTTTTAATTTTTTAAAAAAAGACACAAAGTTTAATATAGAGATAGTTTATATAAACTTATTGTATTCTGTAAAATATTCTAATATACAGGTATACCTCGCCTTACGTCGGTAATTGGTTCCAGGAAAACGACGTAAGTCGAATTTACCTGTCTCCGAATCTACTTATCACTAGGAAAGCATTTTAAATAATATATGGTTAATAAAAATCTATTTTAAGCTTACAAACAAATAAATTTTAGTTTTTAATATAGTACAAAAAAAGTAATCTAAATTTACGAATGCGTGTACTGTAAATACAGTACATACTTGTATATATTTTAATATGATTTTATGTGCTTTAAACGTTTATCTAGTGATATTACGACTTCAATATTTGTGGCGGACAGACGTAAAGTCGAATAAAATGACTTAAACTTGATTTTTATTTTTCCATATACTTTTTTAACAAGCGA